CGCAAAAACTAGTTCTAACACTTTAACACTTATAAAGTTGTATGATTTATAAGCTGTTTTCCTCATGGGGACCAAAAAATGTCCATAACATTTGGTCGCAGGGAATTACCAGGACACACACACACACTCACTCACTCACTCACTCACTCACTCGCACGCACATGCACACTCACTCTCTCACACACACGCGCAAACTCGCACGCACACTCGCACGCACGCACACACACACACACACTCGCACACGCACACACACACACACACACACTCGCACACGCACACACACACACACACACACTCGCACACGCACACACACACACACACACACTCGCACACGCACACACACACACACACACACTCGCACACGCACACACACACACACACACACTCGCTCACGCACACACACACACACACACACTCGCACACACACACACACTTGCACACACACACACACACACACACTCATGAACGTTCAAAGAAACGTTTTTATAACCTTTAAATAATGTTCTTATCATGACAAGAAAACTGGACTTTTTAACGTTATTAGAATATTAATGATAAATGTTCAAATAATATTAATTTGGGTGAAAATTAAGTTAGTAGAATGTTCTAATGTTGTTGGGGGGGGGTACATTTCAAAACAATGTTCTCACAATATTTTTATAAGTTTGTTTCCGGGGCTCTCACACTTTTGATATTGTTAAAGGAATAGTTCACCCAAAAATGAAAATGTCATCCTTCACTCACCCTCAAGTTGTTACTGTGTGCAAACCTGTTGTTTTTTCATTGTACAAAACATTTTTCAGACATTTTAATCTTCTTTTGTGTTCCACAGAATCATGAAAGTCCTACAAGTCACAAGTAGCCTCAATGTACTATCCCTTTAAGACCTGTATTTTCTCACTAGCCTGTCCATCTTATGTTTTATGTTTTATCGCAGAAGTAAAGCTCTTTCCTGTGATTGTGCGAGACTTCCCATTCATTAGTCACTATCAGTAAAAGAATAGCACTAGTGTAGCAAACAATAAAACTGCTGACAGGCTACAAACCATTAATCATTCAAATAAATCTAAAATACATCACATTAAAATAATCTGATAACAAATACCAGTTTGCAGTATCAAGCAGCATAACATACTGTTCTTCAGTGAATGTGAATGACACCGGAAGCCTCAAACATACAAGTTACAAACAGCTGCATTGCTCTTACATTAAAAACAATGCATTCTTGTTATTCTTGTGTATGTGTTCATATGCTGTTGTGATTTCTGTAGCACATTAAGTCTCCCTTTCTCTTTTTAATTACATTTACACTTATTGTACTATATTATACACAATAAGAGACTTTAAAAAGTGAAAGTGGCATTAACATCACATGCGGCTCCATGTTTCAGAGAGATGTGGTTTACTTCATGTCTGTGATGAATATACCTCCACCTGCACATATACAACACGTCTCGTATTTCAAGGAATTCTACCTCTAGGAGTTTTAAAACTACGAATAGTTTTGAGGTAATGTAACAGTGAAAGTGTATATTAATTTGAACACACACACTCTCAAAACAAAGGCACAAAACCCGGGGCGATACCCTTTCAAAAGATATGACTTTAGGTAATAAAATGCACCATTTTGAGGTGAATAAGGTACAGAAACAGTATTG